TTGACTAATATCACGTGACAAGCTCAAAACACCAATCAGGACGACGCATTAGGATCAAGAAACCTTGAACCAGCTCTAAGTTCTTATTGGTTTAAAGAAAAAACCTAATGGCTTCTTTTTTATTATTATCCTGTCTTTTAGTCTAGAATTCTGTAAATCAACCTTCACGAAATTCGTTCGGATGTTTTAAGCAAACATAGTTTATATTAAAAAAAACATACCACATTAAATTACACTTTACGGTGTAATATTTCAGTTTGGATTTGAATTCTTTGAAATACTTCTTTTTGTATTGAAATCATGAATTAATCAATGTTAGATAACCGTGTGAAGCCTAGAAGTACTGGACAGCTGTTTCATCCTGATATGTGATTCATCAGTAATGCGCATTCATGACCCCCGGCTCAGGAATCAAGGGTTTAAACGTTCGCGTATTAGACCGAAGCTTCCACGGACTCGATCACCGTTTGCAAAATTGTGTAAGCTCATTGATGAAGAGTTTCATACTGGGACAAAACAGTCATCCAATAGTTTCAAGTTTCGCAATGATAGTCTGTTTAACATTGATTCGTTCATGATTTTAGTAAAACTAAAGAATCTCCACAACCCATCCTGTATTGTGTTAGGATATTCATCCAATATCCTAAGAGAATTATTGGTCTATTCCGATTGGTCAATTATATAGTCGTCCTAGATATCAATGTCACTTGCTCCAATATTGTTTCTTATTGGTTGTTGTCCTGACTATCAATGTCACTTCAAATGTTTCTTCTTATTGGTCGGCTTAACTGTCAATATCACAGACTTCGATGCCACTTGTATATAATTAATATTCATTTCTTGATGATTTGAGTTGAATAGCTCTAATTTCATTCATAAATTCAACTCAATCTTATTTATACTGGTTGCTCATATTATTTAGTGATATGTTTTTGAAAAAAACAACTAGATAAGACTTTCCTTCTGTTAGGATATTCACCAAATATCCTACAAAGAATCGTTTTGTGAGTGTAAATTCTATTGATCGATTCCTATTGGTCAATATTAACCTTGTCCTGACTATCAATGTCACTTCAAATGTTTCTTACTATTGGTCGTCTTAACTGTCCATGTCACAGACTTCGATGCTGTTTCCTATTCAACCTAAATGTATAAATACCTATTATCTGTAACATTTTATCACCCGGACCAGGACATGAATCCCCAGTCCGTGATCCTGATTCTCTTCTGAATTCGGACCACCTATTTTCTGAGTGCGCTTATAGAATACAGGTTCTACTTCACATTCAAATGTTCTTATTTTTACTCAGTATGGGTGGTTGGGATTTGATCGGATTAGAGTAGCATGTCGTGTCACCGGATCCTCTCGATCTTCACTCTCGTATTCGGACTAAGGTAAACTCATAATAAATAGTTCAAGCATATCAAAATGACGTGTTTACAGTGCAGGCGTAACATCCGACTATTTCTTTTTTGATATAAATATATATATGTAGTGAACGAGAACACATGTGGGGCAACCGAATTGTATTTAACGAAAATTACAGAGTTACTCAGTGTAAAATCGGAAATCCATATCGTAAATCGTTCATTTGCAAAATATCAGTCCATCATATCGAACTGGACTGTTCCTGTTGCAAAACATCAATCCATTGTCACTACTATTCATGCGTTTCATACACAAATTCCATTGTTTTCTAACTCTTCCTTTCTTGATCTCACCCCCATCTTCTGCTGCTAGACATTCCGTTGACACTCACGTCATATACTACTTATAAGTAGCTCACACCACATATATATGTATAATGTGAATACCGTTGATTGATTCGGTTTTATTTTTTATTCTCGTTTAAACTCAATCAACATCATAAACTCATAAATCTTAATTAACTTCAACATATAAATTTTATGATTTAAAAAATGTGTACGCATGATCGATCACTACATTCGAACACATATACAACACACCATATTTGTTTAGTTTTTTTGTTTGCGCGCGCGCGCGCGCGATTTTTGTTTTAGACAAAAAAAATAAATATTTGCCGATTTTCTTAGATTTTAATAATAATAATAATAATAAAAACTAAAAGTAAGTGAATTTCGATTATTTATTTATTAATTAATAAATTAATTGATCATATGATAAAGTCATTGAAATATTTCAGATATTTATACTTAGTTATTTATTCAGTAAAACAAAACGAAAAAACTAGAACAACAGAACAGAACAGTACGGTATCAACGAGGAACATCGGTTGTTGTGTAATGTTGAGTTGTGTTGTGTTATTGTGCTTGCTTGCTTGTTTTATCAAGTGTAAATAAAACATTGATTTGATTTGATTTCCATGTTACAAGAAATAGTTTGACATGATTGATTGGTCTGTCTGTCTATCTATCTATCTATCTATCTATCTATAGACACACACACCAGTCCCGTTTGATTTGATTCATTTGGAATGTGTGTGACTGAATCAATTAGCCGGGGTTTTCTTCTTTTGAACTCTTCGTTTTGGAATAGGGTTGTTGTTTATGTTTGTGTTTGTAATTGTCAAGTAAAAATGTCAAAAATTATTTTTCAGACATCTGATGATATTATACTACTTTGTAATTAATGTGTGCTAAAAGTATTTGAAAATAGTTTAATTCGTGTGTTAATTTGTAAAGTATGCATCAATTGTAAAAGCAGTTTTGTTATTATTATTATTATTGTTAGTGATTATTGAATTTTCTTTGAAACCATAAATCGATCAATGTTAGACCACCATTAGAAACCTGGAAGCACTGAACGACGGCCGTTTCGTCCTGGTATGGGACTCATCAGTGGCAGTGCGCATCCACGACTCCTGCATCCCGCAGGATTCGAACCCAGGACCTTCGGTATTGTGCACGAACGCCCTAACCATTAGACCACTGAGCCGGTATCTAACAGTGTTAATGTCTAACTTGATCAAATTCACGGAGTTGTGCAACCTCATACACAGTCTTCGGTAGACACTGTCTACACCCGAACAGGTTGAACTTCACTGGTCACGTCTTCCCACTAGAACTCAGAGAAGATTCCTCACGAAGCTAGCTAGTCACTAGTGAGTACAGGTAATTTTCATTACAGGGGTTGTGAAGGGTTGTGCTGGATGCAGGAGTCGTGGATGCGCACTGCTGAGGAGTCTCATACTAGGACAAAACGGCCGTCCTGTGCTTCCAGGTTTCTAATGGTGGTCTAACATTGGTCGATTCATGGTTTCAAAAATGTGTAACTTACGAATCTTCACAACCCTTGTAATGAATATTTAATTTTGATCAATGTTTTCTAACAAGAAAAATTCAAATCAATTTGTCGAGTGAATGTATTATTATTATTGTGGAATTTCTTCGAATTTAAATCACTAAGAATGTGGTGGTTGTGGTGGTGGTGTTTGGATCTCTAAGCTGGGTGTTTTAGTTGTTGTTCTTCTGAACAATGAACATCATCAGCACAAACTTCAGATGGAAGTGAAGTGAAGTGTTTGATCATCATCGGATTAACAACATCTTCGATGACATAAAATTCACCATAGAAAAGGAATCAAACAACAGTCTATCATTCTTGGATATTTTAATCACCAGAACTAACACAGGAAAACTAGAAATTCAAGTATTTTGGAAGCCAACGCACATAGAAGTTATTCTCAACTACGGTAGCAACAACCCAAGAACCCACAAAATCAACTGCATAAAAAATTTTTTCAAGAGGGCGGACACACGCTGCAGCACATACAAAGCACTAAAAAACGAGGAAAAACACCTGATGACGACTATCTCCCGAAAGAACGGCTATCCACGCAACTTCATCAAAAAACATCAACCGAAACCATCATCAGAAGCGAAATCAAGCAAGTACAGGAACCAATAAACGGATCATCCTGTCACACATCAAAGACATATCGATCGGAGCATACATCACGACTACTGAAACCATTTGGAATAGGTGTGTGGCACATAAACCAACAGAATCACTTTAATCAATCCTATGTGTAGACCAAAGGACAAAATGACAAAGGAAGATGACACCAAATATCATCTACAGAATAAACAACTGCTCAGAGTGTGAAAAACACTACATAGGACAAAATGGACGGCTTTTTCTGCTTCGTTTACATGAACACCAATTAGCAGGCAAACGCCATGACAATGCTTCGCTTATATCAATACACAAACCGACAATTATGGACATACATTCGATCAGAACAACGTGGAATTACTGGTTAGAGGGCGGACAAAGAGCACTATAGAAGTTTTAGAAGCTTCTTGGCACTCAGGTCAATCAGCAATCAACAATACACATCGAAATTGACCCAAATTTATCAACCAATCAGGAAAAATCATAGGTGAAATGGGATGAAGAAACAGATCAAAAGAGGGATACAATCAAAACAAAGGTGAAAGCAACGATAGGTTTAAGGTCACGATTGAGGTTAGCAGAACAAGCTACAGGTCAAACGTGGAGAAATTCGAATACTTCACTTCTTCTATCTGAAGTTTGTGCTGATGATGTTGTTCAACAGGAGAACAATGAAAGCTCCACAACCAAAACAACCAGCTCAGAGAACCAAACACCACCACCAACACAATCATCCTCCTGAGCTACAAATCTTTTCCACCATCACTAAGATTGTTGGTATATATAAAAATATATATATGTCAATGTTGAACCTATCCGAAACGTTTAACACAACACAAGACTAAGATAGGCATGAAATCGAAATTCAGTAAAAATAACAATTGCCTTATACACCTCACAAGTTGTATTGTACAAACTTGAGAATTTCTATCACACAACAATATAATTTACATCATGCTGCACACTTAAAAATTATCAAAGATAAAACTGTCTACTGAATATGTATATAAGTAGTATAAATCAATAAACAAGAAACGAGTGTACATCTAAATTTATCCGTAGACAATACAAATAACTAGAATTAAATCGAAATCTAAAATCCTAACATACACTATTGGGTTAGATGATTATAGACTGTAGGTAAAAAAAAATGCAGGAATTATATATTTTGTTGGTCTGTGTTTTGTTATCCTGGTCTATCGATAACTCTAAAGGAACAGATACTTTAAGTGGAATTGTGAACCTAGATATATTTAAGAATCATTCACATAAAAATCTGTAGAAAATAAGTCATCAATCTTGATATTCAAGCTAGGCATTATGGTATTTTGTTGATCTGAGTTGATGATTTTGATATGTAGATAGACTGTGTTGGCTAATTTATTTAAGTAAATGTGTAAACAGAGAACGTTTTCACAATCATTGCAATCAATGTTTTCCTCAAAAACCATGAAAACTTTAAGTTTTAGCTGATTGGAACTACATAACTATTATTGACATGAAATAGTACATTACGGCCTATTTTTTCTATCACTTGCCAAGCTCTATTCTGCTTTTAGTTTGAAATTTTTTTATTTTCATTCAAATAAACAAACTACTTATAAGTAGTTACATAATTAACCTCAAATTTTTTTCTAATTTTTTTTCTAAACATTAGAGGTGACAAGAACAATACCACTACAACTGCATCAATCATCAAAGATGGCGGAAGCAGCAACAACAATGCCGCATTAAAACCATTGGAAAATAAAATACTCTCACAAACGCAAATTCAAACATCACCTATGTTATTATCATCAACAATCAGCAGTCATAATGAACAACCGTATTTAAAGTCAGCGCTAGCCGCTACCAACAACCACAAACCACAATATTCCTCACAAGTTCAATTCACCAATACTATGACTAGTAATTATAATAATAATAATAATATTAATCACACACTTGATAAAAGTAATGTTAATCAGTATATGCATAATTATATTACTAGTAATAATAATAATAATAATAATAATAATAATAATAATAATAATAATAATTACTGTAATAATGACAGACTAAATTTAAACAATCCTTCCTATCCAATAAGAAACATCATATCAACTAGGAATATTACCGATAGGAATGAAACTAATAATAATAATAATAATAAGCTCAATACTCGTAATCAACATTCATTAATACCTGTATTTCAAAAGAATTCAATTGGAGCGATTGCTTCAATAACAATGAATAGTACTACTATGGCGACTGTGACTACAACGACTACCACGACGACTAACCCTACAGTGTCTAGTTGTTGTTTATTGAAAGAAAATTATTTAAGTTTGAATTCAGATGAATATAAAATAAACAGTGAAATTACTACAAGTTACGAAAAAACTGGTTAGTAAATCATGTTAGTTATATTACTATTATGTATTATAAGTAGTATTAGTAGCAGTAGTAGTAGTAGTAGTTAGATTTTGTTGTACAAAAGTTTACTTCTTTGTTTTAATTATTTTTAAAAATAATTATATAAAAATTATACATTTTGAAATCATCAATCAATCATTCGAAACCTGGAGGCACTGAAAGACGGCCGTTTCATCCTAGGATGAAACTGAGCAGCGTGTGTCCACGACTATCGCACGTGATAGTCGAACTAAAGAACTTCGGTCTTGCGTGCGAACTCCTAACCTCTAGACCACTAAGCCGGTCACATCTAACGGTGTTTATAATCTAACTTTGATCCATCAAAAGGATTTTGCGTGACCTCACCCATTTGCCTTTGCTAGTCACACACCCTACACCCGACATGGTTGAACTCCTTCACTGGTCACGTCTACTCAGCTAGAACTTGAAGAAGATTCCTTGTGAAGCTAGTCACTAGTGAGAAAATTTTACGATTTTCGATTAGAGTTGTGGAGATTAGTGTGTTTTTAAACCATTTTGAAATCATCAATCAATCATTGTTAGACCACCATTAGAAACCTGGAAGCACTGAAAGACGGCCGTTTCGTCCTGGTATGGGACTCATCAACAGTGCTCACTGTGATGGTGTTTCGTTCAGTGAACGAAATTTTCTCGACCATTTCAAAAATTATCATCTTAGAGTTGTGAATTGGTTGCAGTTAAACATTAACATCGTTGGATGCCCATTGAATGATCAAGGCGTTAAGCGTTCACACGCAAACTTATCGGTTCGGTTCCCGCTTGTAGGATTCATAAATGCGCACTTCTGTTAGGATATTCATCAAATATACTAAGACAATTATTTTTTTAAGTCTAATTCTATTGGTCAATTCCTACTGGTCAATAATTTGGTCGTCCTGACTATCAATGTCACATACTTAAATGTTTTTTTCCTATTAGTCATCCGAAGTGTCAATTTCACAGACTTCACTGTTGTTTCCTATTCGAACTAACTGTATAAATACACATTGTCTGTAACGTTTTCTGACCCGAACCCTTGTCCAGGATCCTTATCCTCTTCTGAACTGGGACCTCGTACTTTCTGGATGCTTGTGGAATACATGTTCTACTTCATATTAGGTCTTCTTTTATTCAAATGGGGTTTAGGACACTCAGATTGGAGTAGCTTGTTGTGTTGTGGTGTGTGCTACTTATAAGAACGATATAAGTAGTATAAGAAGGGACGTGTAAGAAGAAGTCGCACGGTCAGAAGAGGAAAACAGAAAGCAAATGGAGCAAAAGCAAGAAGTCAATGGAGTACCGTCAGGAAGTAAGGGAAGCAACAACAGGAACGGAAGAAGGCTGGAGCGTTGGAAGTCACGGCTCAAAGATGGTGTGCAAATAGAGTATTCAATGTAATGTTTTCGTTTTGTTGGGCAATTCCTCTTCCAATGTCCGGTTCTTCCGCAAATGTAGCATGTATTATTTCTTCCACCTTTTATTCGTAATGCTGCCACCTCTCCTATCTTCTTTGCGATATCATCAGCCTGTCTCTCACACGCCACCGAGGCGACTGTTGAATTCATCAGTTGTCTTGTTACTTTAGCCAGTTCGGTGACGTCCATTGGTTGTGCCGCGTTCACCAGTCTCAACTGTTGGGCAACTTCTGCAGGCACATCTTCAATGAATTGCGACGCTAGCAGCTGTGCTTGCGACTCCTCATTCAAATTCGGCAGACCCCGGCGCAGCAATCTTCTTCTTTCACGTCCCTTCTTATACTACTTATATCGTTCGTATAAGTAGCACAAACCACAGTATCACTAGATCCTCGATCCTCACTGTCGTTTTCCGACTAAGGTAAACTCGTAATAGTTGAAGCATATCAAATGGACGTGTTTACATACATGCATAACAACTTCTGAGGAGTCTCCTACTAGAATGAAACAGCTAACCCCAATGCTTCCATGCTTTCTAATTTGTATTGGTTATTCATGATTTCCATAGTATGAAAATAATTTTCAGATTATGTTCAAATGTATCGACACAGTATTATTGGTTAAAAATGCCAGTCTGTATGGCATATGTGCATCTGTTGCCTTGATATTACAGTACGTCATTTGCAGGCTGAAGTGAATAGCGACTACTGAATGGATTCCAGAGTGTGTATTTCATGCTATTTAAGACTTGTCAACTGTGAATGTGCCTTAAATTTCAATGTCTTTTGTTTCTTAAAACTATTCCCACAGTTTTCGTCTGTCTTATACAATCCTAGTGATGTTGGCATATTTTTGTTCATTCTATCATGTTGAACAATTCAATTCAATTACCCAATCACTTAAACAACTTCATCAACTGTACATCACCGTTTTTTTCTAACTTGATCAGAACACTGAATTATTTATTACTTATCAAAATCTGAATACACATTGATCTTAACCATATTTCTTCATCCTGGTACGAGACTCATCAGCAGTGCGCATTCACAAATCCTGCACCTCGCAGGATTCGAACCAAGGACCTTCGGCCTTGCGTGTGAACGCCAAACCTCTAGGCCACTGAACGGTGATGGTGTCTTCTAACTTCGATGAAATTAATTGAACGATTCATGATTTAATTGAGTAACTGAACAATATTCACAACCTCACCATGTGCTAATCATTATCAGTAATCATAATTAATTTTCACTTGTCTGAAAATGATCAAGAAACCAATGAGTTTATTCTTTTCTGACAAACATTTTATTGAAACCATGAATCGATCGATGTTAGACCACCATTAGAAACCTGGAAGCACTGGACGGCCGTTTCGTCCTGGTGTTGGACTCATAAGCAGTGTGCATCCACGGCTCTTGCACCCCGCAGGATTCGAACCCAGGACCTTCGGTATTTAGCGCGAACGCCCTAACCGACAAACCACTGAGCCGGTTCCAAAAATGTGTAACTTAACAATCTTCACAATCCCGTAATGCAAATTACCTGTGCTCACTAGTGACTAGCTTCGTGAGGAATCTCCTCCAAGTTCTACTGGGAAGATGTGACCAGTGAAGTTCAACCTGTTCGGGTGTAGGCAGTAGTAACTACCGAAGACTGTGTATGAGGTTGCGCAACTCCGTGAATTCGATCAAGTTAGACATTAACACCATTAGATACCGGCTCAGTGGTCTAACGGTTAGGGCGTTCGCGCACAATACCGTAGGTCCTGGGTTCGAATACTGCTGGGTGCAGGAGTCGTGGATGCGCACTGCTGGTGAGTCCCATACCATGACGAAACGGCCGTCTTCCAGTGATTCCAGGTTTCTAATGGTGGTCTAACATCGATCGATTCATGGTTTCAAAAAATGTGTAACTTAACAATCTTCACAACTCCGTAATGCAAACATTTTATTGTTTTTATTCTGTTCAAATTCATCAAAGGATCCAGCTGTACGATGAATGAATGAATGAATGATTTATTCAGTGACAGAGAGAAAAAAAAATCAGACGAAAACGCATTAACAACAAGGTCATTAAGGATTGAATGTAATTCCTCGATCCAGATCGAGATACACTGAAATTAGATCTCATCATTGATGATAACTTTTTCTATCTCTAATATTTCCAATCATGAATATCAGTCAGTCAATTACAAGGTAGATTTTTGTACGTACCTAAATAAGTTCAAGATGCCATATCATATTAGGAAACAGAGAGATGAGGTTGTCAATTCAAATCCCATGGTAGTAGAGGTACTAGAAGTGTTACTTATAATCAAAAAGTGTAAATGTTCGAATCTGTCATTCGAGATGTAAACCTCAGAGGAATCGATTTAAAAAAAATAGAAGCAAAAGACGATCATGAGGAGTTCAGAAGATTAGGATTTGAGAGAACACAGAGAATGCATGCACCTATGTCACTGCGAACGGTTTTGAGCTTTGTGATTCAAAGTCGCTAACCATCGACTACTACCAAGTTGTGGACCCCAACCAGGTAGTCGATACCTACCGACATGACTCAGTCGACTTGTCAGTGACTTCATGGATTTGTGCAATATTTTGGTTTGGCCGCCCCTAACTTTCTTCCAACCTATTCCTACACCACAAAACATAGTTCGTCGAGGCAGTCGATGGTTAGGCATACGCAACACATGTCCCAACCACCTCAACTGATGAAGTTTCAGCACTTCATCTATTGATCTGCCATTCTTACCTATCACGTGTTTCCTAATAACAGCGTTGCTCACTCGGGTGTCCCAGGATACACGAGTAATGCTTCGAAGACACCTTTGATCGAAAACCAGTACCTTACGAATATCTTCTACTCTCACTGGCCACGTTTCACAGCCATAAAGTAAGACCGAGCGAACTACTGCACAGTACACTCGTCTTTTAGTCAGCAAACGGATATCTCGCCTACGCCATAAGTGATGCAGGTTGGCAAAAGCCAATCGAGCCTTCTGTATCCGTGCTGAGATTTCGTCAGGCACCAGGCCATCAGCACAGATGAGACTCCCTAGATAAGTGAGATGGTCAACACGCTCAACTGCTTCCCTCCCTGTCACTAGTTCAGGTGCCGATGAAACCCAATCTTGAAGCAACATTTTGCATTTCGAGGGGAAAACCGCATCCCGAACATGCTTTCATTGTTGCTTAGGGTAATCAGAAGACTCTGCATTTTGTCAGCGTTAGGGTTAAATTTCTAAAAATATATATATAGAAATCCTTGTCTGATTAGAAAATGAATCAACAATGAATATAGTTGAGAATGTCAATATCATTTCTATGCGACTAGATTAGTTTTCATTTTCAAACTTACTTACTAATGCATGCTCTAAAAAACTTACTAATGCCTGTTACCCTCCGACAATTATTTTCTAACCTACTCTGTATTGGATCTTCCTTCACTATTCTATCCAGTTGCTGTTTATTTTCCGCGTTTTTCTCCGACCCTCAGTGTCATGTGTCCGTTAGTCTTCCTGTTTTGGACTTGAAGATTCCAAGTTAGAGCTTGTTTTGTGATGCAGTAGGATGCTTTCCTCAATGTGTATCGAATATATACTTCCATCTGTTTTTCCTAATTTGTTTCTCAGCTAGAACTAGAACCTGGTTTGTTCTCTCCCACAGTAGGTTGTTGTTGATGCTTTCTGACTAAAGGAACTGCAATATTTTGCATAGACAATTGTTAATCAATACTTGTATCTTCTAGATGATAGCTTCCGTAGTTCTGCAAACTGCTTCCACTCCATACAGCGGAACTTTCTTGACATTCACATTGAAAGTTGTGACTTTGGTGTTGGTTGATAGAAATACTGACCTTCATTTGCCAAACCCATCCTACATATCTGCATATGATCGATTCACTTTGCTCATCGATGATACTGCCCAGAGCTACCACGTGAAGTGTTGTGATCTGACAATTACAAACCATATAAAAACTAATAAATAGTCTAAGGGAACTCTAAACCGTATTGATCCCCTAATACTTTCTTGTAAAGGGTGATAAATTCACATATAACAAACTTTAAAGTAACTTTTTGAAACCATGAATTGATCAATGTGTTAGACCACTCCATTATAGAAGAAACCTGGAAGCACTGACTGGACGACTGTTTCATCCATTGGTATGAGGACTCATCAACAGTGCACACAACCTCATAATCGATTTTCTTTCTTACTTTTTATTTCAGATATCACACATAAATATTTAAACAATGCTAAAAGTGCATCTGCATCAGATTTAAGTCATTCTGGAGAAAAAATCAATTCGAAAACTTTACTTAATCTTTCTCTTCTCAAACCAACAACAACAACTGAACGATCATCTTCATCATCATCATCATTAATGTTGAATAAATCATCTGTTGCTGCCTTGACGAATACCAATAATAATAACAATACAGAATCAAATTCTTTCACTGATTTATCAAATATATCGGATAATTTAAAGAATCCCATTTGTCGACATCCGAAAATAACAATCATACGTGAAGATAATCATAGTAAGAATGTTAATAATAATAAGAAGAATAACGATAGTAAAGCGAAAACTCATTCCTATCCAAAATTACCAACAACCAATCATCAATCGAATCATAGTCGGAAGGAGACACAATCATCCACATTATCCTACAATAATAGTAATAATAATAATAATAACCGGTTACATAGTATCCATCATCATAGTCAATCATCGTTGTCAAATGATGATAAGGGCAAAATCAATTCGATCACATGGAAAATACCTGCCATTTCCACTAGAACAATAGAACATTATAGTTCCAATGAAGAGTTTGAAGTAAGTGATTGTGTAAGTGGTTTTTTTTAAGGCATTGAATTTGAATAAGTCGTCATATGTATGTTATCATTTAATATGTGACCAACTTGATCAGAGATAATGCTTACTTACTGACTTACTTACTTACGCGTTGTTAGGGGGATATTCATCCAATATCCTGAGGGAATTATTGGTCAATTCTTATTGGTTCATTCCTGTTGGTCAATTTTATGGTTTGCATTACGGGATTGTGAAGATTGTTAAGTTACACATTTTTGAAACCATGAACCGATCAATGTTAGACCACCATTAGAAACCTGGAAGCACTGGACGGCCGTTTCGTCCTGGTATGGGACGTGACCAGTGAAGTTCAACCTGTTCGGGTGTAGACAGTAACTACCGAAGACTGTGTATGAGGTTGCGCAACTCCGTGAATTTGATCACGTTAGACATTAACACCGTTAGATGCAGCCGGCTCAGTGGTCTAACTATTAAGGGCGTTCGCGCACAATACCGAAGGTCCTGGGTTCGAATCCTGCGGGGTGCAGGAGTCGTGGATGCTGAGGAGTCCCATACCAGGACGAAACGGCCGTCCAGTGCTTCCAGGTTTCTAATGTTGGTTTAACATTGATCGGTTCGTGGTTCCGAAAATGTGTAACTTTATGGTTGTCCTAGATATCAATGTCGCGTGCCCCAAAGATGTTTCTTATTGGTTGTTGTCTTGACTATCAGTGTCACTTCAAATGTTGTCTCGTATTGATCGTGTTAACTGTCAATGTCACAGAGTTCGATGCTGTTTCCTATTCGACCAAAATGTATAAATACGCATTATCTGTAACGTTTTATGACCTTGACTAGGACCAGAACCTGGTCCCGGATCCCTAGTCTGGAATCCTGATTCTCTTCTGGATTCGGACCTCGTGCTTTCTGGATGCTTGTAGAATACATGTTCTACTTCATATCACGTTTTCTTATTTTTACTCAATATCGGGATTAGGATAATCGGATTTGAGTAGCATATCGTGTCACCGGATCCTCGATCCTCGCTCTCGTTCAAGTATATCAAGTTGACGTGTTTACGTGCAGGCGTAACACGCCTGCTACCTATAATGGAGTATAGGCCGTTGACCAACATTCTCCAACCTACTCTATCCTGGGCTTGCTTCCCTTTCCAGTCATATCCAATTGTTGTTCATCCTTCCCATGTCTGTCTTCATTTCACGAAGTAATATGTTTCTTGACCTTCCACTTTTCTTTTTACCTCGAGGGTTCCAAGTGAGGGCTTGTCTTTTAATGCAGTTGGATACTTTTTTCTCAATGTGTCCTTTCCACTTCCAGCGCTTCTTTCTGATTTTCTCCTCCAACGGGAGCTGGTTTGTTCTATCTCCCAGTAGGTTGCTGCTGATGATGTATGGCCTGCGGATCTGAAGTATCTCGTGCATACAACTATTAGTAAATACTTGTATCTTCCAAGAGACTGCTTCCGTGGTTCTTCAACTTTCCGCTCCATAGAGTAGAACTGTCTTGACATTTTTATTGAAGATCCTGATTTTAGTGTTGATTGACAGGTGTTTTGAGTTCCAGATGTTGTTCAGTTGTAGGGATGTAGCCCTTACTTTGCCGATTTGCGCCCTAACATTTACATCAAATCCACCTTGATTGTCGTTGATGCTGCAATAAAATATGTAAAGCTTTTTCCGTCCTCCAAGGCATCTCCACCAAGTATGATTTGGTTGGTTCATGTAGTGTTGGATCGGAGAATCTCGCTTTTTACCCTTTATGTATGTATTTAGACCTACTGAAATATGGTAATTTGATTATTATTTGAGTTATTTAAGGCATAATTGTGTAGTATACGATAAACGATTCACGCACTTGAGGTGTTCTATACTAGGATGACCCCTCCAGTCGGATTCGAACCCACGACCCCCGATCTCACGCACAAAAAAGTTTAGCTTGTAGACCCACTGAGCCGGCACCCTAAAACGGTGTTTACATCTAACTGTAATCAATCCAAGGTATTGCACAAGCTCACTCATTGTCCTTGATGTGTAATTGCTTCACATCCGACAAAATGGAACTCTACTGGCCACGTCTTCTCACTAGAACTCTGAGAATTTATTCACGAAGCTATTCCCTAGTGAGCATATTTTTTATGATTTCTCATTATCGAGTCATGAAGATTATGGGGTTTCATTTTGAAATCATGCTTCCAGGTTTCTACAGGTCACCTAACAATGATCGATTTACAATTTCCATACAACCCAGTAATCTCCATAGCTCTATCATGAGGCCTTTAAAGTCAATAGTCAACTTTGATGTTGCTAGTAAATTTCCATTTTCCACAGAGTTTAAAATTCACCAAAATCATGGTATTTCAATCAGATTTTGTCTGATAAATGCACACAAAGTTACAGTTTTTCAGTTGAAATACGGTTGTGAATCTGTTAGGAGGATATTCATCCAATATCCTAAGAGAATTATTGGTCAAATCCTATTGGTCGATTTCTATTGGTCAAAATTATGGTCGTTTTAACTGTCAAAGTCAAATACTTCAATGTTGTCTCTTATTGGTCATCCGGACTGTCAATGTTATTTCAGATGCTCTTTCTTATTGGTTGTCTTGACTATCAATGTCACTTCAAATGTTACTTCCTATTGGTCGTCTTAACTGTCAATGTCGATGCTGTTTCCTATTCGACCAAAATGTATAAATACGCATTATCTGTAACGTTTTATGACCCAAACCCAGACCCCTAGTCTGGGATCCTGGTTCTCTTCTTCTGCACTCGAACCTCGTACTTTCTGGATGCTTGTAGAATACAAGTTCTACTTCATATCACGTTTTCTTATTTTTACTAAATATGGGTGGTTGGGATAATCGGATTTGAGTAGTATATCGTGTCTCCAGATCCTCGATCCTTGCTCTCGTTTTCCGACTAAGGTAAACTCGTAATAGTTCAAGTATATTCAGTTGATGTGTTTACGTGCAGGCCTAACAGAATCGTTCATTTTCGTACTGCTTTCCAAGCTTTAATGTTAACATTCGAATTATTTTTCAAAATACCAACTTTTAGTTAAATTAAATTTCAGCCATCGTGATAAAAACTATTCTCATTTCTATCAAGCAGCAAAGGTATACATACATGCCCTTAGAACATCATATTAAAAAATTATGTCATATGCAGATCAATGACAAATCAACCTCTGAATGCTTTGTTGGGAAGAGTTCTCTCTCCTTCTTGAAATGGTCTCTTGTGACCATGCGTATACAGTCACTATCTCAAGATAGTCCTACTCACCACTGTCTTCTCAGTCCAAGAGGACAAAAAAGCTCAAGATCCTTCGCTCAAACTAAGTTGGTGGCTACGAAGGATTCATCTAGAAAGGGGTTGGGAAACTTTCACTCTAAACTAATGATGTGCACACACAGATTCCATGATCCTGTAAGGAATAAACAGTTTTGCGAATATTATTCATGTGACTGCATCTCCTAATATTACCCTACTCCCTTGTGGATTAAACCTGTAGGCTTAAAAATACATTCTAACTGAGGCGCTCTAAGTAAATGACCTCCTTTAATTTAAACACCTGAATAGTAGTAAGTATTCAAGCTCATGCATAAACTAAGTGATTTATGTGTCGATTTTAATCAAAACCAATAGATAGACTGACATACTGTGTATAAACACACACACACACACACAATATATAGATCTAGTCATATGACATGCAATAAACTAGTCATCTGAATGAACATGAATAAAATGCATCTCAATCACAAAATAATTATTGATCGATTTTGTACAGTTTTGTACCAAAAATGTAAAAAAAAAATTAAACATTCTATTGTTGTTCACATGTACTTCGAATAGTAAAGTGTATTATATGTATCAGAAAGAACTCCTCTCTCTCTTTCATTATTTACTTTGAATGACACAATCACCTAGTAAGTAGTATATGACAAATATTTAATAATTTATATTCAAACACGCACACGCATACACTCACTCACAGAAAAATGACAACCTTAATTAACCAGTAGTAGGAAAAATAAAATGCATCACTATTTTTTTTTACTTCGTTTATTTAAACAATCGTTTAGCATTCAATAAATAGTAGTAGGGGAACAATTTTTTAAAATTCTCTATAATCAAGAACAACAACTGAAGGTCAATCATGGTGGAAAATGTCGGTACCATAATTGCAATTCATAATTCTTAATTTTTTTTTCAGGTGGATACTTCAACTTCCGAGAAACAAATGCATTCAACTACTACTACTGCTACTACTGGTGGTAGTTATAGTAGTCATCAGTTGAATTCAAACAGAATGAATTCATTAAAACAATACAATCATTATAAATCTACACCGAATATTATCATTAATAATACAACAATGAAAAAAGGCAAAACATCAAAATTGACAAAAATTAAAGAACCATATGTTACACATATAGCTAGACCATTGAAACCAGAATTTTCATATACTACTACTAATAATAATAATAATAGTAATGTAAGTGAACATTGTTTTAAATTGATATATATATATATGTATATAATTTTTATTTGTAACCATGAATCGATCAATGTTAGACTACCATTAGAAACCTGGAAGCACTGAAGGACGGCCGTTTCGTCCTGGTATGGGACTCCTCATCAGTGGCAGTGCGCATCCACGACTCCTGCACCGGGTTATTTATTTATAACTGTCAACTGATGAACATTTTAAAAACTGATCAATGTTAACACACCGTTGAGAAAACTTGAAAGCACTCGATGGTCGTTTGATTATCTTGATATGTGACTGATCAGAAGTATGCGTCTACAACTTGGTGGGCAGGAATTGAACTCATCAACGTTCAATGGATGCAGGTCTTCAATGGGTGGTCTAACATTGATCAGTGATGCATAATTTGATTGAAACTTAACAATATTGAAAATGGCGTGATTTGTTTAAACACTGGAATTTATTTATTTTTAAAATTCATTAATGTGACATGTAAGAAGAGACTGTAATCTGACTTGTTTTCTTGTTTAACCACTGACTTTTAATGTACCAAGCTAATGAATTCAGACAGTTGTATTGAAACTGTGATACAAGAATTCGATCAATTTTATTCGGTCTCGATTCTGACATACAGAGATACATCCTACTGATTGGTTCCAAGTATGGAGGGTGAACACGTGTCATAGACTTCATTGTTAGCTACCTACATTCTATCTTTATTTTGACATAGTGTTACGCATGTACGTAAACCTGTCATATTGATACGCTTGAACTATTACGAGTTTACCTAAGTCGGAAAACGAGAGTGAGGATCGAGGAGCCGGCAACACGACATGATACTCTAATCCGAGTGTCCGAAACCCCCATTGAGTAAAAGAAGAAGACTTGATATGAAGTAGAACGTGTATTCCACAAATATTCAGAAAGTACGAGGTCCGAATCCAGAAGAGAATCGGGATCCTGGACTAGGGATCCGAGTCCAGGTCCGGGTGATCAAACGTTACAGATAATGCATATTTATACAATTAAGTCGAATAGGAAACACTACATTGAAGTCTCTGACATTGACATTCAGAGCTAACATAATATTGACCAGTAGGAATTAACCAATAGGAATTGACCAATATGATTAGACTTACAATAAATTCTCTTAGGATATTGGATGAATATCCTCCTAGCACATTGTGAATTCAAATGAATGACCGTATTGGGTGCCGCGAAATTCTAAAGTCCTAGCTTAGGAAAATTTCGATTATTTAAAGTTGCAACACGTAGTTTAGAGTACTGTCTGGTCTCGGTCTTTAAACGGAATATAATTTTGATAGAAAGTTTAGGGATATAAATATATAACACGAAAATTTATTGTCTAGTGGAGTATTTTCTTACTGTTGGGCACGTTAGATACCCTGAACTGGCTTGGTAAATGTCTTAATTTTGGATTTCATGTTTCCGAGCATAAGCCAATCAGCTGACCTTGAGATTTCATTTCCCACCAGGAAAAGCCTTGGCTGTGATTGGTTACTGTGTTATTTTAGTGTGCTATTTGATAACTTTCCAAAAGGACGTCTCTGTGATGTATAAATTGCTGTATGAATTACGGTTACTGAATGAATAAACCTGGTGTTAGGATATTCATCAAAGAGAATCCTAAGAGAATTATTTTTGGAAGTCTAATTCTATTGGTCAATTCCTACTGGTCAATAATTATGGTCGTCCTAACTAACAATGTCACAGACTTCAATGTTGTATCCCATTGGTCGTCTTAACTGTATAAATATGCATTATCTGTAAAGCTTATTCATTCCTTCTGTACTCGACCGCATAAACAACTTCATCTAACGGTGTTGTGTTCGGATATATATATATATATATATATATATATATATATATATTGGAGATTTGGGAACAGTATTTGGGATCGTATTGGAATATCTAAATTTGGTCAATCAGTAGGATTTCGAATAGCAGCATTATAACACCTTGACAATACGTAAATTCGAGAAATACAACTATTTTTGGACGTTTGAACATGTGTCTGTGTTCTAGGACCAATCGAAGTGTGAACATGTCATCTATACAGCCACGTCCAGGTCGAAAACCAGCCTGGTTTTCTCGAATCAGCTCTTGACAAGCTCTAGTTAGGCGTCGGAGTATTATTGAGGCCAATATTTTAGATAAAATATTAGTTAGACTTTTTCTTCTGTGATTGTCGCAAGAGGATTTTTGTCATTTCCTACGGACTGGGACAATCAGTGATTAAGAACAGTCAGATGGAATTATGCTCAATTACCACATTCTATCTCAGATGTCAGTCAATCTAACTGCTAAAACTGGACCACCATCCTTCAAAATCTCAAGGGTCAATCTATCAGGACATGCTGCTCTCCCTCGCTTTAGATTTCCCATAGCTTTTATAACTTCAATAAGAGTCGGAGGACTTTTTAAATATACTCAAGTCGAAATCATCAATCAATCATTGTTAGACCACCATTAGAAACCTAGATGCACTCACTGTAAGACGGGAGTTTTGTCCTGGTGTGGAACTCACCACCAGCGCGTATCCACGACTCTTGCTACTGACAGGATTTTAAACCCAGCAGCACCTTTGGTCATGCGCACGAACGCCTAACCCCTGGACTACTGGGTCGATATCCATATGTCTAGTTGAGAAAAATATTGAAATTACGCAATAAGAAGTGTTCCAGATGATTGGATAATGAAATATATATATATTAATATACAGAACACCAGAAATGAACGACCAAACAATATGAAAAATACATAAAAACACTTTATTATGTGTCATTAGGCCAGAGAAGGGATGTAAAAGAAAGTGGCGAACGTGCTTTAAGTGACTATCCATTTTATCTGCAGCTACATAAATGATAATCAGATGAATATCGGACTATCACAAACTGTTATGCTCGTCACTTGACATGCTTGAAACTATTACGGGTTCATCGTAGTCGATAAACGATAACGAGACAATGAACCAGCGTCCAGATAGGCTACTCTAATCCGTTGACCCAAAAAATACTAACGAGAAGTCTTGATATAGAGTAGAAAGTGTATTCTACAAACACCCAGTAAACACAATGATCTGAAGCGCACAAATCGCGTTAATTTATACATCATAGAAACGTCCTTGGGAGAGTCACAAAAACAGCACTAAAAGAGCATAGTAACCAATCACGGTTAAGGCTTTTCCTGATAAGAGATGTTATCTCAAGGTCAACTGATCAGTCCATGAATAAAATTCAAAATTAAGACATTTATCAAACGAGTTCTTGAGATCTAACGTCCTCAATACAATCTTATTTAAGGCGATTGCTGTTACGATTTACAGACAAGAGGATGGCATATATCAATGAGATTCCCTCTAGGCCCCCTACTAGAAGAGAGCTTATGCGGTCAAACGCATCTATCAGATACGTGGAAAACCGCCAAAGATAATTTGTTAGCTGCCATGTTCTTAGCATCAACCAAAAAACTCTTACCATACATCTGGAGAAAAAAATACTGGAATCATGTGTGCGTAGCAGTAACTGGTACAATTGCCTCTTCTACCATGATCTTAATCTCTCTCTCTCTTGTAAAAGTTAAATCTAGTCGGTTATTTTTTACTCTCACAACAATCTACTTTCCTTCCATCTATCTATCTATCTATCGTCTACTCGATCTGTTGTAGAATTATATACTTACCCCCGACTGCGATATTTACCTGATATTCACGCTGGGCTCGTTTCTTTTTGTCGTTAGATTATGATTTCTTTTTCATCAATCTTTACGATGAATATTCAACAATCTTCATACTTCATTCCTCATTCCCTTAATCAAAATATTCCAAAAAATAAACGTTAATAACGTTTTATGCCATTATCTAATTTAGCTCATCACGATTACAGTACTAACTAGTTTCAGCAAAAAAAAAACGTTTTTTTCCCCTGACTGTAATTTTATCATCATGTGAATGGAAGTAGAAACCTTTCATATTTAGGATGATTGTACAAGTTTGCACAAAAATTGAATTCACTGAAGAAATAGAAAACTCTTCGCTTGATCAATCAGTTGATTACTACTCTATATGATACAATAGAATTTCCATATATTATTTTGTCTTTCAATCAGAATTATGCAGATCAGTGGTTTTTTTTACACATTTAAAATCATCAATCAATCAATCAATCAATCAATCATTGTTAGATTAACATTCCAAACCTGGAAGCACTGAGAAACGGTCGTTTCGTCCCGGTATGGGATTCATCAACAGCAGGAGTCATGGATGCGCTCTGCCAGTGATGAGTAGTCCCACACCAGGACGAAACGGCCGTCTCTCAGTGCTTCCAGGTTTGGAATGTTGATCTAACAATGATTGATTGATTGATTGATTGATGATTTCAAATGTGTAAAAAACCGCATATTCATTTTAAAGTAGTCAATATAATTTTGGGTGATATTCGAATGCATTACGGGGTTGTTGTGAAGATTGTTAAGTTACACACATTTTTGGAGCCTTGAATCGATCAATCATTGTTCGACCACTCCATTAGAAGAAACCTGGAAGAAGCACTGAAAGACGGCCGTTTCGTCCCAGTGTATGGGACTACTCATCACTGGCAGTGCGCATCCATATTCGAATGAGCAAGCTTTACTCTCTAATATACATGAATGAATATTATTGATATGATGAAAATGTTGAACTAATCTATGCAAATTGATTGTAAGTCGAAGAAATCGATTACGTAACTTCAACACATAATTAATTAGATAGAAGTACAAGTTGGTGGTTGGAAGACTTTGGGTACACTTGCCCTTACCTAATCAATCATGTGTTTTGTAGTTACGTAATCGATGTCATGCTGATGATTGACTCGTAATAAATTGCTATCAACATTTCCATATAAAATATTTATGTATATTATTAGGGAGAAAAAGTCAGTTGTGATTAGAGTTAAGATATATATTTGTTGACGATCTTGTGGTATTGAAATACTACTGCCAAGGCCGGGCGAAAATTTACAGACCAGACTACCGAGAGAACATGATGGGTAAGCTCAAGGTCACGGAGATGTCGTAGAAAAAAATCACTAGTACCATTGGTTACAATAATAATAAATGCTTCCATCACATCAATCATGTCTTTCTTCAATAAAAATTATTCCATCACACGGATATGATAATGAGCTCAGGAGAAATCAATCAACGTAATTTGTACTATTGAATAGTGGAGTTTGTTTAGATAATGATACGAGTTGTATAAAAAAACAGCTCATTTTGGGTGAATAGTCAAACGTTCTTTTTTTTACTTAAAGGCAAACGAATTTAGCCCTATATATGGAACGCTTCAGGTATTCAGCGCTCTCTCTCTCTCTCTCTTTCTCACTTACTGTTCAACCGGTTGATTAAGAAATCTTTTTGTACAGTTTAAGTATTCCTCTAGCACAGGTTCAGATTATTAGGTTACACATTCAAAATGATGAATCGATCAAATTTAAAGCACTATTAGAAACCTGGAAGCACTGAAAGACGGTTGTTTCGTCCTGGTATGAAACTCATCAGCAGTGTGCATCCACGACTCATGTACCTCACAGGGTTCGAACCCGCGACCTCGAGTCTTGCGCACAAACGCCTAACCTCTGAACCACTGATCCGTCTGCATCTAACGGTGTTTATGTCTAACTTGATAAAATTCACGGAGTTACACAACCTCACATACACAGTCTTCGGTAGTAGTTACTGTCTACACCCGAACAGGTTGAACTTCACTGGTCACGTCTTCCCACTCACTAGAACTTGGAGAAGATTATTCCTCACGAAGCTAGCTAGTCATTAGTGAGCACAGGTAATTAATTACACTGACAAGGTTGTGAAGATTGTTAAAAGTTACACATTTTTTAAAACCATGAATTGTCGACAAAGAATTCAATTAAATATATATGTATTTCTTTTTATTATTTTTTTCAATAATATCTTAATAAGATTCATCAACTCAGTACATTAAGTGAACAAGATTTATCAATTAAATCAGAGAAATTAATTGATAGAGAAACTAATCGACGACATAGTGAATTAGATAAATTAAATCAATTTCAAAATGGTGATGTTCAATTGAATTCATTCAATAATAATAAATTAACCAATCAAATGAACAAATCCAATGGCAGCCATATTGATTCACAAGATAATGTTCAATTTTTTTCAACATATCGACATAATAGTTATGATCAGAATTTACATAAGAAATCAGGTAAATTTTGTTTATATGTTTTTATATGTTCCTGTTTAGTTGACATTTGATTGTTTACAATCCCCTGTACTTACTTACATAGTCAGCCTGTTTATGGCTTATTCATGTATTTAATTGTTATCTCTCATTATAATTGGTGTCAGTCAGATGCAACGTAGAACTTCGTACGTACGTACGTAAGTAGATCAGTTCATTTTGCCATACCACATCACCACAGAGATATAATTGTCAGTTCAAATCCAATAGTAGCAGAGGTGTGGTGCGAGCTACTTATAAGTAGTATATGACGTGAGTGTCAACGTAATGTCTGGTAGCAGAAGATGAGGGAAGATCAAGAAAGGAAGAGTTAGAACACAATGGAATTTGTATGAAACGCATGAATAGTAGTGACAATGGATTGATGTTTTGCAACAGGAACAGTTCAGTTTGATATGATGGATTGATATTTTGCAAATGAACGATTTACGATATGGTTTTCCGATTTTACTGAGTAACTGTAATTTTCGTTAAATACAGTTCGGTTGCCCCACCTGTGTTCTCGTTCACTACAGAGGTAGTAAAGGTATTAGAAGTAATCGGAGAGTTTATGATTAGAAGATATTATTCAAGAAGTATGATTCAGTGAGAAAGGTTTAGAAAGACAAAACTAGTGGGGGTTGAAGAATCCGGAAGATAAGGATTGGAGAGAACACAAAGTATTAATGCACCGGCGCCACTGCAAACAGTTTTGAGCCATGTCATTCAAGGTCTCTAACCATCAATTATTATCATCTCTCAGACCCCCCAACCAGGTAGTTGACAACTACCGACATGACTCAGTCCACTTGTCAGTGACACTTCATGGATTTCTGCCATGTTTTAGTCTGGTCGCTCCGAAACTTTCTTCCAACCTACTCCTACTACACTACAAAACAAAGCTCGATGAGGCAGTCGGTGGTTAGGCATACGCAGCAGATGTCATTAATTGGTGTGATGCGGTTTGGTTTTGCATGCACACAAAAGAATGTCTGAAAGATGATAACATGCTTAATTTAGAATCTTGGACTAGTGTTCTTCGTCTGTGTTTCGGATTCACTAGTATTTAGGCCAATCGTCAGGCAAGTAGTATCAATTCTCTGATCCTTGATACATACTGATGGTTACTAAAGGTTGTCTGTGCGTACATGTCAGTTATATAAGACATAACATACAGCAATGTACATGTGTCACGGCATACACTCATGACAGTACTTACACATTATTGAATTATAGACCCTAAAACGTAAACTGCTGAATAATTAATTATCCTGTGGTGTGAGCTACTTATAAGTAGTATATAACGTCAGTGTCAACGTAATGTCTGGCAGCAGAAGATGGGGGAAGATCAAGAAAGGAAGAGTTAGAACACAATGGAATTTGTATGAAACGCATGAACAGTGACACTGGATTGATGTTGTTTGCAACAGGAACAGTCCAGTTCTATATGATGGACTGATATTTTGCAAATGAACGATTTACGATATGGTTTTCCAATTTTACTGAGTAACTCTGCAATTTCGCTAAATACAATTTGGTTACCCCCACCTGTGTTCTCGTTCACTACAATCCGAACATTGACATTCATGAGAAGTGTCTTTTCTCTCAGTATCAGAAATACTATTACAAATAAGCCATTAATTGAGACATCAATTTATCTTAGCCAACATTAGATGTCAGGAAACAAATCAATATGTTGTTTAAAGTATTAGCAAAGTATGTATTACTTCATATAAATAAATTCATAAAAAATGTTTATTGAATCAGCTTGAATAGAACCCGTTGCCTTTATACAGTATGAAAGCTGTTCGAAAATGGACGTCTCCCTGACAAAACATTCATTTGTCAACAACCGATTTATTAGCCTCATACTTATATCATAATAAAATATCATTTCGACCCCATCGCAACCGTAACATCGGGAGCATGATTTACAGTCATTGCTCTGGTATAGAACACCAGACCTAATGAACCTAGTCGAACATCAGTCCACATAAGAAGAGGAATACATAAGTTTGCCCGGCTGCATGTTGGATGCACAATGTACCATTGCGAATTCGAACTGCGGTTCAAACTTACAGACATTTAGTTTTCAATCCCTTAAAAAGTAGTTTAATATCAATAAATTAACTCAATGAATTCAACTAGGTACATATATTGATGTACAGTAGTGTTAAACATTTATTTCTGGTATTAAAATTCATACACAGTATAAAGTCCCGACCATAGGTGCTACCTTGACGTGGTGGTCGAGCTTGCCTATCGTGATGATCCAGCCGAGCTATACTGGCTGGAACATATGTTCCTGAAGGTTCTACCATGCCACACAGGTCGATTGGAGAACGATGAGACTAAAAGCAGCTACTCAAGGTCTGAGGGCGAAGTCGTACTGCTGACTGACTGTGATGGAGGGGTGTGACAGCAGTAAGGTGTTTCACTTGGACAACCAGCATCTGCAGCGATGATGCCTTCTCACAAGGAAGGAAGGAGTTAGAAAAGGTCGACCCTAAAAATGTCACACCTCACCCTCACTCCCGTCTCCTTGGGTAAGGGTGCCCACTAAGGGCTTTTAAGACCGGAGCTAATACTCAAAAATCCTTTCACAAAAAGACCGTGCATGACTGGCCTCAAGCAGTTGTCCCTTGGACTCTGCGGTCACTCACCCAGGTCTCTAAGACCAACACTAATCTATCTTCCTTTTCAGGTTCCTCAAGAAACAACCTTTCTCAGTGTGGGCAGCCGGGAAGTGACAACCGCTCTCATACCCGTAACAACACAGCACACAACACCAAACTGGTCACAATCAAATCCTTCCTACACCCCCTAGTATCTCTCTCTTATCTGCACACAGTATATAGTAGTATATAGTATAAAGTATAGAAATTTGTGGGGGAAAAATGTAGAAAAATGTACCTTCATTCTTTTTCCCAAAAAGAAAAATCATTAATCACCTTTTAAAAAAACAATTAGTCCCTTTCATAGATTTTGATAGAACAATGAGAAGATGTAGTCAATCTGAAAATAGGTGATCTATTTACATTTTTATCTAAAATTAATAAATAACATGTCAATTATAATTAAAAAGTTCAAATAGACAGACATTAGGAGTGATAATTGTAAATGAAGGCGAGAGAGAGAGTAGATTAACATAATGTAGAAAGCAGAAAGAAAAGGCTAGGGAAATTCTCATATTACCCTAGGGCTAATAAATTCAAGTTTATTTCTGTACACATAAAGTCAAGGCTTTCATAAACCTCAGAATTTTTTGTCCTTCAACGTTTCTATACAAAGTTTTAAAGGTTACCTTGATGTCAATCTTGAGGCCATGTTTTTTGATTATTGTGTTTTGCAATCGATCAACATGGTTTTCTATTTTCCACATTTATTAGGACATCTGATGTGAACTGATTTCGAAGCCATTTAGGTACATGTAGCATAAGCCTTAATTGTAAAGTCCAATTATTCCTATCAATGTATATGTGTTCACACAAACATGTAAAAATTGATCAGTACAATGGGATGTGATGTAATCATTCGAGTTATGTCTATGTGAAATCATGGACTCAGTCTTTTCAATTGCAATCCAGTTTTAGCAACGTAGTCTATTTTCTATATAGGTACTCTCGTAGTCTCTGTCTCAAGACTGAACTATATGATTCGTCCCTAAATGATAAAACGATATAATTCTTATCCATTTGAAATCATCAATCAATCAATCACTGTTAGACCACCCATTTAAAAACCTGGAAGTACTGAAAGACGGCTGTTTCGTCCTGGTATAGGACTACTCATCAGTGGCAGTGCGCATCCACGACTCCTGCACCTCGCAGTCATTCGAACCCGGGACATTCGATATTGTGCACGAACGTCACATATCAACCAGAATAAAAGACAAGCTTTTCTGTTAATTGATTTCTACACCTATTGATGAACTTTAGTGGATCACCATTTGACATGCCTGTGACTAGATTGTTCAAAATGTATAATACTGTTTGGGGATGTTAGATCCCCAAAACTGTCTTGATAAATGTCTTATTTTGGATTTCACGTTTCCGAGTATGGGTTGACTGGTTGACCTTGAGATTTCATTTCCCACCAGGAAAATTCATGGCTGTGATTGACTGCTGTATATTTTATTAGTGTGCTATATTCGTGTGACTGTCCGAAGGACGTTTCTATGATGTATGCGTAAACGAGAGTTGTGTGCTTGTTTGTATTGTGTGAATGCTGGATGTTTGTAGAATATACTTTCTACGCTACATCAAGACTTCTGTTTTACAGCTTGAGATTCAAGGTAGCCTACTTACCTGGACACTGGTAATTAATTGTCTCGTTCAAGTTTATCGACTGAGAGGTGAACTCATCGTAATAGCTTCAAGTGTACCTAGCTAGCTTAAATACATCAGATTTTTCAAATCGATCATGTCTTTTTCATTGCTTCATTGATCCTTTTTAGATGAAAACCTTGTCAATGGACATTTTATTCAACCAATTATTATACAACGCAAACAATATACATCAAATCATATTGTGACAAATAAATCTTTAGATAATAAAAAGAATTTTTCATTATTTTCTGAGAACAATGAAAATCAATCAATGAATCATTATAATCATTTGAAAAATGTAAGTTTCTTATTTTATTGTTTGTTGTTTAAGTTTTTTAAAGATGATTCTGTTGCTTCGGGGTTGTCGGTGCTGCTGAAAAAATAAATCTTCCCCTCCATTTCCATTTTTCATAATTAAGCGAACTGTATTTGTTCGACGGTGGTAAGAAAAAGTCAAATACCGAACGGATTTGCTTTGGATGAGTTTTTACGTCGAGCATATAAAACAGCAAGATACCAAAGAGAAGTGAGGCGAGGAATTGTGTCAGTGGGCAAACACAATGCCGATGAGATATAACTAAGTTTTTTATAGTCAGATAAAAATAAGCTTGACATGGGAGTAGTAATTCGTGGAGAGAAGATTAATTAGTTTGCCCAAAAGCTAGGACAACACCCATGTTGGCTCAATATACCGACACACATGTACTTACTTACTTACTTACTTACTAACGCCTGTTATCCCCCAACGGAGCATAGACCACCCAAACAGCTTTCTCCAACCTATTCTGTCCCCTGGGCCTTCCTTTCCAGTTCTATCCAATTGCCATTCATTATTCTCATGTCTATCTCTGATTCTCGGGGTAATGTATTCTTTGTCTTCCTCTTTCCCTCTGACTCTGGTGATTCCAAGTGAGGGCTTGCCGTGCAGCGCAGTTAGGTGCCTTCCTCAATAAATATATCCCATACAGCTTCTGCACTTATTAATTTTTTCCACAACTGAAATCTGATTTGTTCTATCTCCCGATAGCTTGTTGCTAATTGTGTCTGCCTAACAGATTACGTGTATCTGTACTTATAGTCGCTATACTCGTCAGAAGAGGCTTCTACCTTAGAACTTTCGACTTTTATCATATGATGTCATAACTCTTCTAAATGAAAACTCTCCAACTCTCCAAGAGCAGCATTTAAATGATTAGGTTAGAGAAGGCTGGATCGGCGGCCTATGCTCCCTCCATTAGAAGTAACAGACGTAAGTTAGTGTGATATCTAATGGCAATCCGTGATGAGACCCCAACCCCGAATCTAATTCCCTTACACTGATATCCAGCTCTACTCTAAATGTTATTCCTAATTCCCCACACTCATGTAGAATCATCTTTCAACCCCTTCTGAAAGTAGGTGGATATTCTCAAGGTCAGTTCAGCATCACTTAAAGCACCCATAAGACATTGTTGATTTATTGAACATATAATTTGCCGAAATTTCACACTTATCTTTGCCACTACTGCAAAAGAAAAACTCTATTTATATCAATATTTTCCTCTTTTGATATCTTTCTATGAATGTAGTTTCATTCCGAATCTTCATCGGATCATTTAAATGGGTAAGCTGTTTTTACTGTCGTAATATGTTTAATTATTTATTTTGTATAGAAATTTCAGTTAACAGTAAAGATTAAACATTATTCTACTACGAAATCGTGTTCAACTATCAATACTACTGATTTGACAATTAAAAGTAGTATTTTTATGTTCATTTAAAGAAATTCATGATAGTCGAACATGAATATTGAGCTTGAGAGACAATTAATTAATTAATTAATTAATCAATTAAAAGTTGAGCACATTTTCATTTTAAATCACATCCTATCAAGTAGGTTGTTGTTGTTGTTATAAAAGAGCGTTCAAAAACAAAAGTAGCTACTTCATATCTGTGGGGCGATATCACACACCTGACGGTACTTAGAGGTCAATTCGTTAGGCGTTTCCTCAAAATAACAAGCATTTCGAGTTAGTGCTACCTTCTTACAACAGATTGAAATGACCTGAGAAAGGTTAGTTAATCTTACAAATGAATTGACTAGTTTCCTCTAATGGATTTCCATAGTGAAATTAAGTAGTTGTTAATCCTATTTCCTTTTTCTAGGTTAACCAAATGAAATCATACTGTCATAGTATGGACAACCGGAAAGTAGTATAACCTAACACACGCATTCACACACACACACTTCGAACACTGTGTTGAAGTCACTTTGACTACTACTAACTCAATGATCAAGTGTGACATTCATTTACAATCTATGTAAACGTTGTGATTACTTTCTATGACAATGAACTAATGTGATTTTTGTGGAGAAATGTTGTCTGAAAAAAGTTTCTATAAGTATTTTTTTGAATGACTTTAGAATAGAACCTGCTTTAGATTAGAAAAAATTGTAAATTCTGTGTTACTACAGATGAACTGTAGTAACTCCACTTTTTTCTGGCATATATGTACTAATGTTCTTCAGAACAATCCAATGCCTATATAAATATAGTTCAAGTTCAGTTGATATATACATAACTGAAGTTAAAGGTTATAACCTCTCAAAGTGGCCGAATCGTCGTCTACAAGGAGAACTGCAACAATATTTCCGCCGGCGCGATTCACTCACTATTATTATGTTTGGTGACCGAATTATTATTCCAAAATTATTGGGACATAAAAACCTCAAGCAATTTCACAGTGGTCACCCTGGAATAAACAAGATCAAATCGTTGGCGCGCAGCTACGCCTACTGGCCCTCGATGGATAAAGATATAGAAACCAAATGCCGAAACTGCCTTTCATGCACACAAGCCGCAAAAACCCCTTCGAAATGCGAGCCTCAACAATGGCAGAAACCTACGTGACCTTAGGAGTGAATTCATGCAGATTTCGCTGGCCCAATCCAAGGAAAAATGTTTCTAATTATTGTAGATGCGTAAATAAAATGGCCAGAAATATACAGCATGCCGAACTGTACAGCCTCAGAAACTATTCAGAAGCTGTCTACCTTATTTAGTTGTTTCGGAGTGCCAGAAACCCTGGTAACTGATAATGGATCACAATTTGTTGCCGACTCATTCATGCGATTCTGCAGTTCAAACGGCATAAGGCATCTACGGTCCCCACCTTTCCAGCCCCAATCCAATGGACAAGCTGAACGCTTCGTGGACACCTTCAAAAGAGCTTTACTGAAAGGGGGAGACGAGGGGCCAACTAGCCAAGTAATCACTAGATTTTTAACGGCTTACAGAAGCACTCCGACCCATACGGTCCCAGAGGGGAAGTCTCCAGCTGAAGCAATGTTTGGAAGACGTATTCGGACTATTTTTAACGCGATGTTGCCCCCTAAAAGAGCGAATAGGTACAGGCCAAATCAAAATATTCGCAGCTTCAACGTTGGCGATAAAGTGTTCCTGAAATCATATCGGGGGAAAAATCAATGGGAACCAGGAACCGTCGTCCAAAGACTAGGAACAGTTTTGTATTGAATTACAGGAGCTGTCGGAAGCTGTGTTAGACACACGAACCAACTGCGAAGGGACGAAAGAATCGCACGCTTGGGTGATAATCGCGTAAATCTACCGCTGGAATTGATCGCAGAACCGACAACTACACATTTGTCCCGGAATACCGAAGAAAAGGGAAGGTTGGAGACACTAACTCGAAAAACTATAACCAGAATGGAACGCCGCCGCAAACCAGTCGTAAGACTACAAGTGGACCCAAGAAAAAAATCTTATTCCGGGGAGGTGTTGGGATGGCCAATCGAGAAGAAAGCCACGCACATGGTGGATTGATGAACTATTTGATTAATGTTCATGATGAACTATTTGATTAATGTTCAAAATATTTAAACGACATTTATATAATTGTATAAATACGCATGTTTGATTGTATATTTTTGATTCTGTTAATAAGTGTTCTCCAACGTCTTCCGTCTTGTTATTTTTTGAATGGTGGGAGTCTAACGTGTGTGTCATTATTAAAGTGGTTTGGCGTTACATCAAGTAGAAAACATAAAAGAAATACACATTGAATATGAAATATGTACACGTAGTCTATGATCATCCATTTGTATCTGTTGTGCATTATTGTACTATCGAAGCTGGTTATTGATTGAGTGTTTACACTTCTCTTCTGGTCTTCTTCAATGTACCCTAATCGCACTACACAATCTGATCTCCTAATATGCTGTTTTCTAGTAGCGATGCTCCGTTGCATACTACTACTACTACTACAACTACTTCGAATTCATTTTGTGAGTAGCTACATTACTTACTTACTTACTTACGCCTGTAACCCCCAATGGAGCATAGGCCGCCCACCAGTTTCCTCCAACCAACTCTGTCCTGGGCTTCCCTCTCCAATTCTGTCCAATGTTTGTTCATTCCTCTCATATCTTTCTCTATTTCTCGGCGTAATGTGTTCCTTGGCCTTCCTCTTTTCCTTTTACCTTGAGGGCTTCGTGTGAGGGCTTGTCTCGTGACGCAGTTCGGTGCTTTTCGTAGTGTGTGTCTCCTATTCACTTCCACCGCTTCTTCCTGATTTCCTCCTTCACTGGAATCTGGTTTGTTCTTTCCCACAGTTCGTTGTAGCTGGTGGTGTGTCTGGCCAACGAATACGAAGTATTATGCGTAGACAACTGTTAATAAACACTTGTTGTATCTTCTGGATGATGGCTTTCGTAGTTCTCCAAGTTTCCGCTCCATACAGTAGAACTGTGTTGACATTTGTATTGAAAATCCTGATTTTAGTTTTAGTTGAAAGTTGTTTGGAGTTGTAGATATTTTTCAACTGTAGAAATGCAGCCCTTGCTTTACCAATCCGCACCCTCACATCTGCATCGATAGTAGCTACCTTGTAGACTTACAAATATAAAAAACTCTTGATCTGAAACAGTTCATTCAGTAAAATACGAAACTAAACGCGATCTCAATTCTCGTTACAGCCGATGTTGTCACAATAACACACAACATTTTAAATTTTTGTGTATGTATTTCAATGTCAATTTTAACTGTTTTATCCTATTTTGAAATCATGAATCGATCAATGCTGGACCATCATTTAAAAAACTTAGAAGCACTACTGGATGACCGTTTCGTTCTAGTATAGAACTCATCAGTAGTGTATGTAAACTTGTCCTGTGCTCATAGAAACCGAGCGCAGAAGCTTCGATGTCGTGCGCGAACGCTTAACCTGTAGACCATTGAAACAGTACGCAATATCGACTGAAGTTCAAAAATGTGACACAGTTAACTCAGTGGTCAATTGTTCACACACGAGATCAAAGCGATCATAGCTATACACTACTACTGACAAGTCCTATATATACTAGAACGAAATGACCATCCAGGATTCTGTCAGATTGTTCACACTTATAATCCAACATTGATCAAATCAATTCATTCATGATTTTCAAAAAAAAAAACTCAACAATCTGTTTTTAACGGGTTTTTTTTAAAAATTTTTCCCCTACCTTTTTTTTCTCCCCTTCATCTATTCAAGTCGGTTAAGTTATCATCCATCGGAAGAATCATTGACTGGTGGACTGAAATCAACAATCAATGGATTTCACAATCATAACAATAACAATAGCAATAATAACAACAAGTCAACTCATGATTATTCTGTCGAGACAAAATGCAATGGAATTTATCGTAAAATTATTAATCAAAAACAATCGAATCGTATCTTGCCTAGACGACCACGTTCTTTAATACAAAATGTTCCATATGATGAGAAAACGAATTTGCATGATTTGTGTAAATCATCCAATCGATTATGTAATCATTGCAACAACAGCACTCATCATCATCGCCTGAATGAGCATTCACATAGTTATAATAGTATATATGACAGTTACACTAATGATTCTGATACGGACATTGATGATGACGATGATGATGATCAGTTGGATGTGAATGAATTATGCAATTGTAAGGAATCGATCGGTTACAGGCATTCGGTCACACCGAGTGCATTTCGAAAATTCGATTGTCCACAAACATATACTACTACTCATAATACTACTCATCATCATTATAGTAATATGATGATTAATGATGGTTACAATTCCTTTGATTATCGATGTAGTCATGATATAGCCAATCGTACACGAACATGGACAATTACAGATGTGGATACAATGTAAGTAGTATAATGTGTTATTTTACGTTTGATGTTTTTAATGTTATGCTGATGTTACGCACTGCACTGTAAACACGTCAACTTGATTATACTTGAACTATTATGAGTTTAACTTAGTCGAGGATCCGGTGATACGACATGCTATTCAGATCTGATTATCCCGACTCCCATATTGATTAAAAGAAGACAAGACTTGAATATGAAGTAGAACATATATTCTATAGGCATCCAGAAATTACGAGATCCAACTACAGAAGAGAACCAGGATCTCGGACTTAGAATCCGGGTCTTAGTTATAAAACGTTACAGATAATGCATATTTATACATTTTGGTCGAATAGGAAACAGCATCGAAATCTATGACATTGACAGTTAAGACGACCAATAGGAAGCAACATTTTAAGTGACATTGATAGTCAGGACAACCAATAAGAAACAACATTGGAGCACGTGACATTGATATCTAGGACGACCATAAAATCGACCAATAGGAATTAACCAATAGAAATTGACCAATAATTCTCTTAGGTTATTGGATGAATATGAATAACAATTGACCAACTCTAATTTTTGTTAAATTGTACTATAACTGTCTAGATTGTAGAGACAAGTTATTGTCAAGTGATCATAGGCATGAATTGTTTATTGAAAAGTATTTTCATGAATTGTCGTCTCTAACTATAAAAATTTAAATTTTTAATAATTTGTTTGTTTAAAAATTAAGTTTGTTTTTGTCTGACATATCAACATAGTCATTACTGTTTAATGCATAAAAACAACAGAAATATATATATATAAATATTGAAGACCAGTAACCAGTGTTTACAATCAACTCGTAGTCATGTGAATTAATTACTGAATAGTAAAATATTGGTTATCAGTTGATGATAAAATAATTATATATGTACATATTTCAATAAGCGGTTGTGAAGATTGTTGAATTTCAATTAATAAAACTGAGATGGGTGAATGTTAGATTATTAACATTGGAAACTTTTAGCGACTGGATGATAGTTGTTTCATTCATGTATGCGACTTTTCGGCAATTTGTATCCACGACCCAAGAAATCGAAATGATGAAACTCAGCACGTTGCGATTACGCATGCTAGTGCCTAAAATGTAGTAGACCTTTAAGTTGGCCTCTAGCGGTGTTCATGTCAAACTTCATCAGTTGAACAACAACCACCTTCCATTGTTTTTTCAACCTGACACCTTATGAGGTTGTGAACTCCATTGATCACGGCTCCTCACCAGAACTTAGAGAATCTCCCCTGGAAACCAGTCACTAGTGAGCACTAAATAAGTGTCCGTTACGTTGGTGGTGTTTGCTCTTTGTCGTGAATTGATTGGAGGTGAACACGAACACCGTTGGATGCCAACTCAGAAATTTTACAAATTCTTGAACGTTTGCACACGATAATAACCTAGCATGTATGTTCGATTTGTCAGTCAGTCAGTCAGTCAGTCAGTTGCAACGTAAGAACTTCGTACGTATGTACAAAAGTTCATGTTGCCATACCACATTAGAACAAAGACGCAAATGTCAAATCAAATCCCATAGTGATAAAGATAGTAGGGGTATTAATGGTAATGAAGAAGACTAAGGTTCGAAGATATTATTCAAGAAGTATAATTCAGTGAGATAAGGTTAGAAAGACAAAGCTAGAGGTGTTGAAGAATCCAGAAGATTAGGGTTTGAGAGAACACAAAGAATAAATGCACCGACGCCATTGCAAACGGTTTTGAGCAATATCAATCAGGGTCTCTAACCATCGATTACTAACATCTCGTGGACCCCAACCAGGTAGTCTGCATCTACCAACATGACTCAGTCCACTTGTCAGTGACTTCACGGACTTCTGCCATGTTCTGGTTTGGCCGCCCCTCACTTTCTTCCAACCTACTTCTACACCACAAAACAAAGCTCGTCGAGGCAGTCGGTGGTTAGGCATACATAACACATGTCCCAATCACCTCAACTGATAAAGTTTCACCACTTCATCAATTGATCTGCCATCTTTACCTAACACCCGTTTCACATGTACAAATGTTCGTTTTTGTACATGTGTGGTGTATCAACAATGTTTATGTCCTAATAAATTAATAAACTACTTTTTTGATGTAATTTTTAAAAAGTCTAGAATTTGTCAATCTTCAAAGTATAAACAAGTAACCATCAATTATCTCTCGATAAGAATTTTTATTTTTCATTTTAAAATTATAAACAGAAAACATTTTTTTTTTAAATCTTTGAATTTAAAAATAAAAAGTTAAATAACAAAGCAGGAAACAAAATATGCAGTGATACATTTTGAATGACAGTTTCGGTTTCTTGTTTTTGCATTTCCTAATTAAAACAAGAAAGGAGAAGTCAATGAATATTGAACATATTTTCAATGTACAATGTTTTAATTTGACTGAAATAATTTGTGTTCATTTAAATCATTCCTATTGTTTTATAATTTTTTTTTCTTGGTCAATCAATGAATGTCTCGGCCTGGTATGGGACTATTCATCAGTGGCAATGCGCATCCACGACTCCTGCACCTCGCACGGGATTCGAACCCAGGACCTTCGGTCTTGCTCGCGAACGCCTAACCTCTGGACCATTGAGCCGGTGACATCTAACGGTGTTGATGTCTAACTTCGATCAATTCATGGAGTTGCGCAACCCCCATTGGTCTAACTTTGATCGATTCATGATGCCAAATGAATAGATTATTGTTTCACATTGAAATCATGTTAGATCACCATTAGGAGACTGAAAGCATTAGATAACTGTTTCGTTCTGGTATGAGGGCTACACCTTAGCAGCGCTAATTCACAAGCCCCACTCGTAGGAATCAAGCCCAGTAGTACCTCCTCTGGACCACTGAGCTAGCTAGTGTCAATGTCTAGTTTTGATCAATATAAAGTTTCGGTAGACAACTGACTACACTTGACAGGTTTGATCTCCACTGGTCACAGGTTTCTTCACTAGAACCCTGAGAATCTCTTCACGATACTAGTTACTAGTGAGCGAATTTTCAATGATTTCCTTATATATTTAATCACCATTAGGAATGAGCTTCTCTGTGCTAATACTGTGGTGTGTGCTACTTATAAGAACGATATAAGTAGTAGTATAAGAAGGGACGTGAAAGAAGAAGTCGCACGGTCAGAAGAGGAAAACGGAAAGCAAATGGAGCAAAAGCAAGAAGTAAATGGAGTACCAACAGGAAGGAAACGAAGCAACAATAGGAATGGAAGAAGGATGGAGCGTTGGAAGTCACGACTCAACGATGGTGTGCAAACAGAGTGTTCAATGTAATGTTTTCGTTTTTACTTGACTCAGTGTGTAAATTCGCATAATACTATCTTCCGCGCTTGCCTCAGTCTTCTCAACTGGTGTCGCTGACTCTATACAGGATAAAGATACCATGGCCTCGGGAGTTTGAAGACGGAGATGTAAGGAGCTTCTCGAAGGAGTTCGAAGCCGTGGCGGAGCTGGTAGGAGTCAAAGAGCAGAGGGCGAAGGTGGTGGTGTTAGGGACTCTACTAAGAGGCAGGGCGAGAGCGGTGTACAATGGTGTGGAGGACGCTGACTTGGAGGCGGTGACGGAAAGGCTGCTGGTGGAGTTCGACAGCACTGCGGATAGGCAGGACGCACTGCAGAAGTTCCGAGAGGCGAGACTGACGATGGATAGCGACCCACTCGTGCTGGCTGTGTAGCTGACAATATTGCTGCGCCGGCGTCTGCCGAATTTGGATGAGGAGTCGCAAGCACAGCTGCTAGCGTCGCAATTCACTGAAGGTGTGCCTGCAGAAGTTGCCCAACAGTTGAGACTGTTGAACGCGGCACAACCAATGGACGTCACCGAGCTGGCAAAAGTAACAAGACAACTGATGAACCCAACAGTCGCCTCGATGGCGTGTGAGAGACAGGCTGATGATGTCGCGAAGAAGATAGGAGAATTACAACATGAGGTGGCAGGCAGCATTACGAATAAAGGGTGGGAGAAATAATAATAAATGCTATATTTTCGGTGGAACCGGACATTGGAAGAGGAATTGCTCAACAAAACGAAAACATTACATTGAACACTCTATTTGCACACCATCGTTGAGTCGTGACTTCCAACGCTCCATCCTTCTCCCATTCCTGTTGGTACTCCATTTACTTCTTGCTTTTGCTCCATTTACTTTCCGTTTTCCTCTGCTGGCCGTGCGACTTCTTCTTCTTTCACGTCCCTTCTTATACTACTTATATCGTTCTTATAAGTAGTACACACCACAATACGACATGGTAACCTGAACTGATGTACTTTACGTACGTACAAAGTTCCGCATTGTATCTATCTCTCTGTCAGTGTCATTAGGGAAAGAAAGAAGCAATATCATTGCCTAAATTTTATTCAAATTAACTCTATACAATGGCACAAACTAAGTAAAAGAATCCACAATCTATATCTTACTTATATATATGTATATATATGTCATTAATCTAAGTAATTACCAAATTAAATTCATTCCCTTCTTAATTGAATTTTAATATTGTGTATGGTATGTTATGTGATGAGATATATGCATAATCATTATTCGTTTGTGAATTCCATTTTTTTTAAAAAATTAAAATCATGTGAGAGACAGTGGATTTGTTTGAAATAGCCTTCAATTGTGTCATCATCAATGAAGATTTTCTTTTTAAAAAAAAAAATGAATTCGTAGAATAAAGAAATACATTTGAAAGTAAAATTATGATTAGAACAACACAGATATAAGCGAACAATAGTGTTGTTTTCGATTAGATCGTCATCAGACTTTACTCTTCAGTGTACATGAATATTTATATGAAAATGTTAAACCAATCAATCAAGGCAATTTGAGTGATAATCACAATGAAATGAAAAAGGCAAAAGTACAAGTGGATAGCATGAAGATAGGTGAAAATTTATAAAATATGATAACTAAAGTAGGTCAAAGGTGGATGAATAGAATTCAAATAATCATTAAAAAAAGCATCAAAAACATTACGTAATAAGCAGATGTGTAAAAATAATAATAATAAAAATAATAAAATTAAAA